TTATTTAATTTAAAATACAATCAAACCTGTCTATAACAGAACCCCAAGGGACCAAACAACTCTTTTGAAGTAGACAGGTTTCTGCTATATACAGGTTACATACTATAGGTATCCCTTGATTAATGCAATTAATAAATTTCTTGAAGGAAACAACATAAGTGAGTTGAAATATTAAAAGGTTGGTATAATAATGAGAATGGGAATCAACATATAACTAATTTGTAAGAACAAAAATTAAGTTTTACTGAACATTTTGTTTTTGTATAAACTAATACATAAATTACAAATACAAATTCAGTGAAAAACTTAAAACATGTTACAAGAAATCTTTATTAACTCTGCAGATTATCCCTTAATAAACAAAAGCTAATGTCTATCCATAGGCTATTTGTACAAAATCAAATGCTTTTAAGTAGTAACTGAACCTAACAGAGTGAATATTTAAATAGTGAACAATATATAACTTTCAATCTATGATTTTGCTATAATTGATTAAAAATTATTTAGAAATTCAAAATCAAATCCTCTACATGAATCATAATAAATATATACAAGCAACATAATACATAATCAGGTCATCATGAAACAATGTTCGGTATCTTGGAAATCTCAAACCATAATTGCTGCATGCTTGAGACAATGTTCTAGTCCCTGCAATTTATAGATTTCCTTTTGTGTTTAGATTATATATTTCCAAGGCCATGTATACTTCTCATTGATTTTCTTGAGGCCATGTATACTTCTCGTACACTTGACAATTTTTGCCTCATTCCAATGTACCCTGACTGAATCATCTAAGGCATAAGCTACTAAGGCTATATTGTGTATTTCCCTTCTTAACCATGAACTCACATTAAAACCGGAAGAAAAGAACATAACAGAGTTAATAAATTTGTAAAAATTTAGCAAATTTTTCAAATTCTTAACCATACATTAATAGAAGAATTAAATGGAATTCTAATGCAAAAAAGCTGTTTGGTTCTATCTACTCCCATTTTTTAAAATTTTTAGAAAATGATTTTCCTACAGAAAAAGCATTAAATTTTTAATGTCATCTGCTAGAGATTGTGTGCATAGCAAAAGAGGTTACAATCAGCCTTAATAGACAACATCTAAAAGACCTCAACTATCAAAAGTAAAAAAATACATAAAAAGTTTTAAAAGTATTTCATTACTTACTTAATTATGGATGCATAACCTAAAAACTAATTAAATAAACCTGTTTTTAGTTTTAATTGATAAAAATCTTTACCTTTTCAATTACGACAATTTTAATTTAGGTTAAAATTATTTTGTAAGTGATCATAATTATTAATAATTTCTAAACAATTTCAAAACCTTGACTGATAAAAATATATTTAGAATAAAATAGTTACTAATAGTTTTGAAATAATTTTTTTTGTACTGTACATTCTACCTTATTTACTGTATTTGTGCATACATGGCTGCAAGTGACAGCTGAGAGCAAAAATAGTTGAAAAAGTAACTAGAATTCTTTAAAAAGTAAACATGTGGTAAACAATGGATATACCAGCATACTCAACAGTTATATTATCATCATATCTGCAACTTAAGGCTGTTTGGCTATGAGATAAAGATTGCTTCTATAACTGTTTTAAATGTCATACTGTCAAAAATGTATTCAAACTACATGATTTTTCAAGATAATATAACAATATGCCAGGCAACAATACACAAAAGTGGTTAACACATTGACTGCCGCATTATGGGTGAGACGACTTTTCACCCTAGGCTTCGTCTCCCACATTTGGTGAAGGCTTTAACTAGTATTTAGGCTTTGTCATTCACACATGGGTAAATGCTATATGTTATTTCCTATTACATTTTAAATATATGGCCTCAGAGGAAATTTTTTCCGTATTTAAATTGTTAAAAATTTTTTCTTTACTTAATTTTAATTTATAATATAGGCTATATAAACACATTCAAATAGACATATTTAATTTTCTTTATACATATGTATTATATATTTACTTTATACATTAATTTATCAAAAATCCATTTATTTATTACATCAGTTAATCAGAGAAATCCATCAGCAATAGAATAAAACGAAAAAAATTAAAAAAAAGTAGGTTTAAATGGCAGTTACAGATCTAGGTCACGCACACTGTTTAGATGTCACCACTCCACCTGCTGTCACATGACACGATGTTTGTTTTTAGGTGGACATGGTTCCTGCACTTTATAGAAAGTTTTACGCCTTCAACTGTCGTAAAACATCAGGCTATAATTTTGCAATAATAATTATAAATTACTAATAAATTTGGCCCTAGAGGGAGGCATTAGACACCATTTTGTATTAAATTTAATATTTATAATTTAATGAAATAATTTTAGGTTAAACTGGAAGAAAAGAATTGGCCTAGAGCAGGATCGAACCTGCAACTGCCACTTACTGTGCAGATGCATTGCCAGTTACACTATCCAGACCTCTGGTCCAATCTTCTCTTTCAGTATATTTAACATTACGATATAACCATTGTCAGTTACTACAGTGCCTATACTATAGACAGTTTGATTATTTTTTCAATAGACAAACATTAATTATTTTATTTAAATTAAACTTCTGAAAAGTTTGTGAAAATACTGTATCAAAACCCAATCAAATTAAACAGTTTAAGGAATTTTATTTAACATGTAAACCCCTATACTAGATGATTAGGGAAAGAACATGACTTTGAGTAAACACAACTTCAAGTTATCCTGGTTCAAACTAACCAGGTTCCACTGTAGTAACAAAAAGTAACCTAAGACTGAAAATAAGAAAGAAATAATAGAAATAAAAAAATAACAAACAGTTGTAAAAGTAACCCATTTGCAATCTTGTGCATATTATTTCTTCAGAACAAGGATTATTGGCATTTTTACATTAAAATTACTGTAATTTTGTGTGGATAAGCTGCAGCAACATGTATCTCATAGAAAATTGCAAGAATAAAAACAAAACTTTTGCATAACTTGCCCTATTGTAAACCTTGCACTCCAGGAATGGCCACTGAAAGCAAGATACATAAGCATTTTGGTTGACATAAAATCTCAACCCCTCTTCAAGAATTTGTACATGTTTTTTATAAACAACAACTACAGGTGGAAATTTGGGTACAAGTACATATCTAGTGTATAAATTGTTTCCAAATTTCCATCTATAGTTGTTCTTTATAAAAAACAAAAATATTAACTGAAAAGGAGTTGAGATTTTACAGCAACCCAAAATGCACATCTAGAAGAAAAAATTGATTAATAAATTGTACATTGTTAAACCAACAGATATTTGTTTGGCTGTTTGAAATACTACATCTGATGATAAACGATTATAGAGTTAAAACTCATTCATATTCATATATTCACTCATCGATGTATATTGCAAGTATAATTAAAATATCATTTAAAACTCCATAATCTCATCACTTAAAGTAATCATAAATTATATATTTACAAACCATACTATCAATATCATAAATTTGATTTGTTAAATAATTAATTAATTAAAATTAAAATAATTTTTTAATCATAATTTAAACTAATTTGTTAATAAAGTAATTTTATATTATACAGGGTTCCTACTCAAATTTTTGTTTCAAATTTCATGATTTTCCCTGACTTCTCCTGACCAACTTCATATAAATTCCCTGACCCTCACACCCCTTACAGGCATGTCAAAGATATGGCCCGTGAGACAATTAGTTGTGGCCTGATATGTCAATTCAATAATGCTTTTTGTTTATTTTTTTATTATCTTGACACCAAAAAAAATTTGATATTTTGCACTTAAACAAATAATACTTAATAAACAAAATTTTTGAACTCAATTATTATTATTGTTGTTTTTATTTTTATTTATTCCTATTACTTAGAGATATTTATTTTACTTGATTTATTTTTGTGTTTAATTTCTTGTTTACATTATGTTTTCTCTATTTCATCTTTTGAATTTCGAATTAAAGTCCATCTTAGAAAGATCATCTATTGCATAATTCGCACTATTTTGCATATAAAATGCATGTTTTCGACATATTAATAAATTAGTTTATGCTTGTATTTTCAGTCTTGCAATATTTATTTTCGGATCAGTTTACAGACCTGCTTCAAGCCTGTAAATTGGCCGAAAATGTTTGTTCTGTGATTAAAATTATTGCTGGAAAAGTACAAATGCAGTTTTTTTTTAATTTTAATGTGAAATCTTGGGTTATTAAAAAAAATTTTGAGTTGGCTACTCTTGGGCTACTTTTTAGAATTTTTGGCTACAAAAGCTAAAAACATCTGGCCCACTGTCATACTCAAGATAAAAAATTGGCACTTAAGCAATTTGAGTTTGACATCCCTGCCTTACAGTATGGCACAATGACAAAATGAAACAGCATTTGAATTACTGTGCACATATGCTATTGCTTCTCCAACTTTTTAATTAGTTATTTTTTCTAATTAACAGTTATATGTTTTTTAAAATTGCCGAATTACTGAAACTAAAAATACAACTTTTTATTAAATTAAAGTAGTTTATTCTGTTATTATCCACAACCATAAATCTATATGGCTTTGAAAAAAGAAAAAAGCAATTATTTATTTCTTATTCATTAATAAATCCTATATAATCCATGTACAAAAGTATACATTTATTAAATTTATTTCTTATTAATTTTCCTGAACTTTATAAAATATTAATAAACTGGAAAAAAATCTGAAATTGTTTTGTTATGCCATCAAAATGAAAAATGATAAATACCATTTAAATTGAAATTATCATTTTTTTTTGTACTTTGTAAAATGCTAGGAAAATTTTGTGTACACTTGGAAGAAAATTTGGGTCCTGAAAATATGCAGCATTCCTTTGCATAAGTTGTATCGCGTTACTTCTCACTGCCTGCAGACAGCTACATTTAGTCAGCAAAAAATCAACAAAGCAGCCAAGGCAGCAAATTCCCTGACTTTCCAGGAGCATAGGAACCCTGTTTATAGTAATTCTTTTAGAAATATACCTGTAAATTTTTAATTTTATCTTCTGATGTTTTAACCTTCTTCACTAAACCATCTTTGATATTATCTTTATCCGTCAAAAGAAACCTAGAAAGATATTACATATAAAACTATTTTCTTTTAAGAATAAATATCACTGAAAACAATTTATATATTTTAAATTTAAAAATTAGACATTGCAAACTGATTAAAGATGAATTAATCAAAATTATGCAATTATAAAACTTCAAACTCCATCTAACTGTTCAAATATCAATACTAAAATATTTTTAATGTTTTCTTTATTAACTAGATATAGATAAGGTTTTTTCTTTGTTTTTTTTTTTTCATTTATTTTATAGTAGTAGAACCCCAACTTGTGTTCCAGTTTTGGGGTTCTGCAATAAAATTAGTTTCTAAGGTTTAATTAATAGTTTAAAATATATATGAAAAATTCAGTAAATAGTTTCAAAAATTATTAATATTTTATAGAAAAATATGACCTATGCACAGACTGTACATAGCTCATATTTGCAGCAAATGAAATCCATTTGATTTTTTCCTGAGTATTCAATTCTTTTTATTCATTCTTGTCAGGGTAGTAAATATTTGAATACTCGAGTGTTTATCAATTTGCAAAAAATCAAATGAATTTGATTCTGTGTGAATATTATTTATTCAAACTATTAATTAATGTGAAGGATTAATTTTTGCAGTTGATTTTGTCAGAAAATGTGGTAGGAGCTCAATTAGATCAAGTGTATTATTAACTCACTCACTACTAGTTGAGCTCCTATCATATTCACTAACAAGAATCATCTGCAAAAATTACTCTTTTATATTAATTAATATTTTGAATTAATAATATTTATTAATAATTAATCTGTTTTTCATATATTTAATAAATAATTTAGATTTTTTTTAATTTATAGTTTTATTTATAATCAGTAAAACTTGTTAGGGTTTCAAAACTTTTTATCAAGGTGAAATTGGTTCTGTAATTAAAGTAAGTTGGAAACAGCTGTTTTAAATGAATAAATATTTAGAAAACAATTTAAAATCAAAAATATGTTAAACTGCATGTTAAAATCTAAAATATTTTAAATCCAAATTAAGATCAAACCTTTAATTTGTTCAGTAAAGGAGACAGAGAACAAATGTTTTTTTTTTTCTTTGTCACATCAATGTAAATATATGATGCATGAATTAATATTTACACATTCTATAAAACATATTTACAAATATTAATAAAACATCTGAAATATTTTAATGTATCTTAACCAATATTTGAATAAATGGCTTAGATATACTGTACAGTGATACCTCGACTTACGCGATTTTCAAATCTCGTCGATTCGTCTTTTGTTTGAGCGCCACGCACTCTTGATTACTCACTCCGCACACACTATTGTTCGGCTTACATGTTCAGACGTGTCACACGGAATCGACATATAGCTACAATTTATTTTGTGTTATTTATTTCTGTGTTTGTTATATCTATGGAGACTTGAGAGACTCTATGTGGTGATTTCTTGTAACCGTGAACGAATCAAATGACGAGATAAGATTAACGAGAACATTTATTAGCTTACATACATCCGACTTGGATTTTACACAAATTGCGAAATTATACCCCGACTTACGCGAACCCGGAGTTACGCGATTTTCAAATCTCGTCGATTCGTCTTTTGTTTGAGCGCCACGCAACTCTCGATTACTCACTCCCCCCACACTATTGTTCGGCTTACATGTTCAGACGTGTCACACGGAATCGACATATAGCTACAATTTATTTTGTGTTATTTATTTCTGTGTTTGTTATATCTATGGAGACTTGAGAGACTCTATATGGTGATTTCTTGTAACCATGAACGAATCAAATGATGAGATAAGATTAATGAGAACATTTATTAGCTTAGATACATCTGACTTGGATTTTACACAAATTGCGAAATTATACCCCGACTTACACGAATTTGACTTACGCGGTTATTGCTCAGTCCCACCTATCGTATAAGTTCGAGGTATTACTGTATTCACAAAACACATCCCTGCAACAAGTTAAAATTTCAAATTTGAATAAATATCTCTTTGCATATTTTAATCATTACAACAGTATAAACAATTTTATTAGGGCTGCAGAACAAGTTGCAAATCAAAAGTTCTCAATTTTTCATGCAAAGAGAAATTCTCCAAGAATTCCAGATTTTCCAGGCAAGTAGACATATTTTCCTGAAAAATCTGGGAAGTGCCTTGGTTTGAACAGTGGTCTTTCAGACTTCTTTTTACATTATCAATACCAATATGTATGAAGTATATTCTCTGCACAAACTTCATTGGAAAAGGATAACCTTCATAAAAAAAAGTTATTCTTTTCCTCTTTTAAAGTGGTTTAAGAAGAAATACATAGTTTGGCTCTTTCAATCATTTTTCAGCTACTTTTTACATAGCAATTATGGTAAAAAAAAAAAAAAGTTAATAAAAGTACTGCTGAAACTAAAAACATGTCAGAATGAAATTAAAAAAAAACTAGAAATGATAAATGATTAAGTCATTATTTAAAAATGTATTAGTGGCATGTACAGTACCTACAGATTAAACCAGTGTTATGGTTTTAATCTGTAAAACCAAAAAAGCAAAGAAAATATTTTAAAAGATAATTATTTGAACATTTAGGAATTATAAAAGTAAATAATAATAAAAGAAAAAACAATAATACAGGTTCTTGGGAGAGCTTCCGAATCAATAGAAAAAAGAAAAAAAAAAAAAACAAACAAACACACATTTGTGAGTCAGAAGGAAACACAGTCAAAGGCATAGACAATGCAGATGTGTAAGAGAAATGTTAGTAAATTTTAGAAGTGTAAAATTATACTGCATCATGGTTTCATCAATTTTTTCAAGTTTATATTGAATAATATAAATTTTCTTTTTAAGTTTGTGTGTACTGGTTAAAATGTTCTCATTTGGTGAATTTTTGTCATGTATGTGTATGTTGAAAAGTTTTTATTATAAAATTAATAATGTGTATGCATATGCCCAAAAATAGGGTAAACTGTTTATGTGAATATATTGGAGCTACTGCTTGTGGTCTAAAAATGAGGATCAAGGAGCATAAATACACAATTCAGAAGGGTCTTTCCACTACCACATTAACTTCTTTTGCTGTTGATAATAATGTGGAGGTTAAATTTAACGATGCCCAATTACTATAATACAGTGATGACCCAGCCTATTGAAACACTAGAAATATTCAAAGCATTTAANAAAAAAAAAAAAAACAAACAAACACACATTTGTGAGTCAGAAGGAAACACAGTCAAAGGCATAGACAATGCAGATGTGTAAGAGAAATGTTAGTAAATTTTAGAAGTGTAAAATTATACTGCATCATGGTTTCATCAATTTTTTCAAGTTTATATTGAATAATATAAATTTTCTTTTTAAGTTTGTGTGTACTGGTTAAAATGTTCTCATTTGGTGAATTTTTGTCATGTATGTGTATGTTGAAAAGTTTTTATTATAAAATTAATAATGTGTATGCATATGCCCAAAAATAGGGTAAACTGTTTATGTGAATATATTGGAGCTACTGCTTGTGGTCTAAAAATGAGGATCAAGGAGCATAAATACACAATTCAGAAGGGTCTTTCCACTACCACATTAACTTCTTTTGCTGTTGATAATAATGTGGAGGTTAAATTTAACGATGCCCAATTACTATAATACAGTGATGACCCAGCCTATTGAAACACTAGAAATATTCAAAGCATTTAAAAAGAGGGACAGTTATTAATTTTAAGGAAAAGGACTCACTAGCAACTGTGTGGAGGGCATACTTTGACTTACAATAGATCTTGAATTAAGTTTTGATTTTATATTTTATATAAATCAGAAATTTTTAAAATCGTAATCCAGTTTGAAGAACCTTGTTAAACGGAACATTGAGCATGCTTTTATTTTCACAACGTTCAAAACTTTTAAATTTTTGTTCTTTTAAAAGACGCATTCTATTAGTTCTAAACCTGATGATGACTGTAAAAATAAAGGAAAACGTTTGTTTTTCATTTAATTAAATCTAATTCATGCTAGTTATTGATAATTACATATTTCAAAATTATATTCATCTCTAAACTATTTCACACCAAAATGTTATGCATATCACATGAAACATGATCTATACTTTCAGAAAATAGTTTTTATTAACTTAAACAAATATATTCACATTGCCTGGAGAGCTGTACCCTCTATATATCATATGCCAGGCTTGGTATGTTTTTGCTGTTACCCAGCTAAAAATTATGAAACATCACAATACTCAACTGACTTTGCATTTGTAAAATACATCTTAAACTTTATATTTCATTATCATCATCATTTTTAATGAGTAGCTAAAAAAACTATAACTATGTAGCATATGAGACACTCAAAAAGCAAATGATTTTTTCAATGTGTGAGTGTATTGAGTGATTGGTTTTAGATACTGGCATGTAACAAGAGGACAATCTGTCAAATAAAAGAATATGTCTTCTGGGAGGCATTTTAAGAGAAACTCTTCCCTATGCAGACATTATTGACAAGAAAACCCAGAAAACTTCACAAGCCAGCCTGTCAACCCAAGCACAAATTAAAGCCCAATACCAGTGTTTGTTTAGGGATCAAATCCACATAGCAACTGGTGCAATAGGGGTGTAGGATAAAGAACATAATTAAGCTGTCAAATTTAGCTGTTATTTCTTTGTCAGAGATTTCTATCTTTTTTCACATATCAATCCCTTTTAAAAAAATTGTTTTTTCCATTGACCCTCTTTAATATTATATATATATATTATATATA